CTGGTTGAGGCCCGTTGTGGCGAAGGGTGTCGGGGCGGGGCTCGTGGGTAGGAGGAGGTATGTGTGCAGGGGGCCTTGTTGGGGCCGGTTGTGAGGAAGGGGTTGTTGGTGGAGGGGTCCTTCCGGGGAGGGTGTGCGTAGAGGGGCGGGGGAAGGGTCCAAGGGGGCTGCTGGGTGTAGGTCTCCTTTTGTTGGGGCCTGCTGTGCTGAGGGACAGTACCCAGGGCCCTCTGACACCCCCTTTCTCTTTTCCAGCAGAGCGGGGACTCTCTAGGGTGGTATCAGGTGCTGAAAGAAGCCAACAATGGCGTGGTTCAAGGTGCTCCGTGGAATTTTTGAAAGAGTGAGAGGCTTTTTTTTCCTAAATAAATCTGTCTTGTTTATTTGTTTCTCAGTTACAGTTCCCAAGTAACGCTCGTTTACATTCTAGGTTGGTGCTTGGCAATATAAAGTCGTGGAAATAGCCGGCAAAGCTACTTAGGATTGTGTTGAAAATGCTGGGAGAGAAAAAGCAATTAATAGTGAAAAGAGACCTTTACACAGACCCCACGTTTCCAGCCAGTGATACCTCTATATTTTTTGATTATTGTACCCCGCTTGCTCAATTCAGAGGCGAGATATCTTGGTTGAGACCAAAGGTGAGTTTTAAGATACAAAAGCCCGTGATTTTAGCACAACTGGACTTTAAGGTAGTAAATGGTATTTAGCAGTGAATGACTGCTTCTGGGTGTTTTTATTGTTTAGAAATATAGAAGTGATAAAACCAATGTATGTCAGTGTTAACAATGTATAAGTTATAGTTTTTAACTCTTGTTTGTAGGTTTGATTTAAATCCTGATGTAGAACTTTTGAATTTCTTGGGACTAGTAGGAATTAAGATATTTTATCATAAATATATTTCATTATGCAAATAATATTCATACCAAGTTAAAAGATAGCATTATGTTATTCTCAAATTTTTCAACACATTGCATAACTCCTAAAAACAAATAACTAGATTCTAGAGTTTTTCAGAAGGATATTACTTTTTTTTTTTTTGCGATTGTTGATTTCTTTGATAACCTTAAAAAAGTTTTCTTTCTTGTTATAACTTGTGGTATGACTTGTATTGCTTTTAAACTTACAGCTGGTTTTCAGAGCAAGCCACATGAGAGCTAAAAAGTTTAGAATGCATTTCTGCAGTATGTTCATTTAAAGTGAAGTGTTTATGATACTGGCATTGTGTGGAGGGGGGAAAAAAAGGCTATAAAAATGTAACGGAGAAAAAAAGTACTTTGTGTTTTAGTGGTATTGTTTTTCTCCCCTGCATCTGGGGATGGCTGTAGAACAGTGATAGAGCTATTGATTATCAGATAGAATTGGCAAACAAATGACATCGTGGAGCCCAGCATGCAACTTTCTGCTTTTGTACCTTACACCTTGATTACTACTGAGGGCTGATCAGTTACTTTCCATCTCTTGCAGTGTTGACAGGTGAGAGAAGAACCATTTTAAAACCTCACTTTCAGATCCAATTAAGTGTTCAGGACTTTGCATTTGAAATTACCTCTTTTGCTGCCAAGTAATCTATTTTTATTTGCCCTAGGGAAGGCTTTTCTCTTATGCTAATTTGGAGATTTTTGTAACTTGGGACGTGCAAGTGCAATGTGAATGGCAACAGTTCTATCACACTTGATCATATGTCTAGCAAGTAGCTGATGAATTATGTTGTCTTTGACTTATTGGTGCCTCTGCTAAGGTTGCAACTGATGGTGACATTTGTGTGCTAAAATCCGTGTGGGAACTATGTGTATTTATTTCACATAAAGTACCTGCAAAATAGCCACAAGGCAGTAATTAGTTATTGCTTGCTTAGGCTGTGTCTGAAGAGGAAATGTTCTAGAGGTAAAAATTCTCTTACTTTGTGAGAGGTCTCTGGAGCCCTCCCATTCCCTGAAACACAGGTTTCCTTAGACTATCATGCAGGATTTGGCTTTAGCTCCCCTTCTTTTCATTTTAGGACATTTGTTCTACTCCTCGGTTATTTTCAAACAATCTGCAGGATGTGCAAGTGAAACAAGGAATTTTGGGAGATTGTTGGTTCCTGTGTGCCTGTGTAGCTTTGCAGAAGAGTAAATACCTACTGAATAAGGTATAGAGAAGTTTCTTGTTTCATATCTCAGAAGTTTTCTTCATCTAATTTACATTTGTATATTGCTCTTGAATCCCAGGCCTCAAAACTGAATATCAGTTTTGTTATGCTTAGTTTCGCTGTTTTTGTTGTGATTTTTTTTTTCTGTTATTATTACAAACAGTTAATATTCAGCATATTTTAAACTGGTTTTGTTTAAAAAAAATCATTATTTGTCTTGATTTTGGCATTTGTCGTCTAGGTAATCCCTCCAGGTCAGCCCAACTGGACAGATGAGTCATATCAAGGCTGTTTCACTTGTCGAGTCTGGCAGTTTGGGCACTGGGTGGAAGTAACCATCGACGATCGTTTGCCTTGCCTTGGTGGTAAACTCTGCTTTTCCCAGTGTCAGACAGAGGATTTGTTTTGGCTTCCACTGTTGGAAAAAGCTTATGCAAAGTATGTGAACACTGTTATTGAAGGAAGTAAAGGGAGGTAACAATAGCTGTATACCTTCTGCTTATTTATTTTATCTGACTGCTTTGGGCATAGACCTGTGTATTATTCAATATGAAGTACAACGGCTGCTAGCTTTCCCATACTGGGTTGTGCAGAAGTCGCTCTTTAAACTGTAGATCTATAAGGTGTGTTTCTAGTTGCATATGAGGTAAGATAGTCTTAGGGAGAGAATTATGATGAAAAGTAAGAGCTGCAATGAATTATCAGCATTCAAATGATATTCATTAAGTCATTATCCATGGGTTGTCTAATTTATTAAAGGGAAATATTTTACTAGTGCCACATTTGAGAGCAGCTGAGGGCTCAATGAAAAGCAGAAAGCATGCAAATATTTTCATGGAAGGCAACAACATTACATAAGTTTATGCTAGTTGAGGCTCTGGTTATGAGAGTTTCACTGCTGCTTTTGCTTAATTTGATAGTTTATTATTTTGAGAAGAAACAACTGTATTGTTAATGTGTTTGAAAATGCAGCTGTTTTATGACACGTCCGTCAAAATGCTGTCCAGATGGACAAAACAATTTGGAGACAAAGTGCACTGGTAAGATAGACATCAAATGTCCAAAAGAACTTGGACAAAAGATTGTGTGGTTGCCAGCAGAGGGCAGAAAAAGACTTTCAACTGTAGACATGTTGAGCAGAAGTTGTGAAGCAGCAATGACATGTTAAAGCTTCTCTGTGGGTTTGAAAGTCTTTGTTTTCTGTAGAGTCTTACCATTCTATCTTGTCTTATCATTCTATTACAGTCTTGATTTCTTTTGCTATCTTTTGCATCCACTGCATCAGGTGGGGTAGTCTCCTGATTTACTTAAATTGTTGAAGTAACTCCTACTTTGTGCAGAGTGAACAAAGGATAATTGAAGAAGAGGAAGAAATTTATTTATACAGAATGCAGTTAGTATATCACAAAAGATGATGTAGTGCACGGGTGATAAGGTACAAATGATTAGTACTAGACTACAGCGGTTTCTGTATAGGATGGAATGAATTGTAATAAACTTCCCATCAAATAGTGGAATGTTTGATGGCTTACATATTCTTTAGAATACATTTGTATTCTGTGCAAATAAAATAGTATGTGCTTTCTCTTGCCTACTTGGGGATATGACGTAGGGTACAGTCATGACTGTGATATAAGGTGGGGTTGAAAGTGCATAAGAACCGTGTTTCTTTAATTCTGCTGTTTGTAGAAAGTTTCTTGGGTTTTGTTTTGTTTTTTTAATAGAGTGCATGGATCTTACGAACAGTTGTGGGCCGGACAGGTGGCAGATGCTTTGGTTGATCTGACTGGAGGAATTGCTGAAAGATGGACCCTGAAAGGCCCTGGAAGAAACATGGAGAAAGAGAAGACTGGCATGGTTTTGGAAAAGGCAGTGTTTAGAAGATTAATGAACCTGAAGGAACAGTGTGTAATAAGCTGCTCAGTCCTCGATTCCAGACAAGGTAATAGTAAAGTTCTAGACATTTTTAAAGTAAATGTCTCTATTTAGCAGGGTTCAGAGCACAAGGCAGCCAGCAAATGCATAGTGCCGATTCTAGTAGCGTACGAGTTTCATGATGCAATTTTATATAACCTGGGATAAATAAAGATTTAAGGAAGTTATTGAGTTCAGGATGGAGGCTGCTTTTGAGGAGTGCTTTTTATATTAGATGCTAATATGGTCAGTTCTCAACAACACACGCACACCCCTCACCCCCTGAAAAAGCACCTAAAAACAACCTTAAAAACCGCCAGGAATTTCAGCACCGAGAATTTGTAGATGTTTGAGAACAAGTAGTGAGTTAATACGCTTTAAAATTTTCATTTATTTTATTTCTATATAGTCACAACTACAATGAACTGTTTGGGGTTTTTTTATGCTGTTTTTATACTGATTTAAAAACAATTTCCTTTTATCTCAAAATTGCCTTCTTTCACAGGATAGTTCAATGTCATTAGTTGTAAAATATGGAGCAGGTTCTTTTGTTTACTTTTCAAATGCTTTTTTTTTTCTTCTATTCAGGTGCAAGCGAACTAGGAGAATTTCATGCCTTTATTGTGATAGACACCTTGAATCTGTCTGAAGTGTCAGGCAAGGAAATCTTCCTACTACGAATACGAAATCCTTGGGGGAGGCGGTGCTGGAGAGGTCCCTGGTGTGAGGGGTGAGTAGGTTTATTTTCATTTGGAAAATCATTTGTGAAAGTTCTGAAGCACAAAGCGTATCTATGTATTGCATAGGCAAATGTTGCTAATAGGCTATTGCAGGGGAGAGAGACTTCAGTTTGTATGCCGTCCTTTAGAGAGTTCAGTAGTTCATGTAGCTCATTGGTTCTAAGGCTAGTCATTTTGGTCTATTAGTTCTGGTAATCTAAATTTTTTTAATAACAAATTTTTTTTGTTTATCAAAGCATCATATCTTTTCGTAGAGATAAACTTAAGATGTTGGTTTATTTTCTGTCTCTGATTTTTGTGGTGCTTTTTTGTTGTTCTGCAATTGATCTAAGTATCTTTGCTCATAAGATGTTTGTGACTTATAAGTAGTCACTCAGCTTTACTCGGCTCTTCTCATTTGATCTCATCTCAGTTGTAGAAGACAAGCAAAGGAGTACGTATAAAACAATATATCAGAAGGAAGGATGTTTATGTTTTTTGCTTGTGTGCTCTCGTTTCTGTAGATTAATATGAGTAGGAGAAGCTGGAATCGAGTAGATATAAAGAAGAGTAGATATAAAGAGGAGATCTGTTTTAAAGGAAATGCGGAAATAGGTTTAGCAGTTCATATAGCAAAGTAACAAGAATGAAAGGGCAGACCCTATTAGCTTATTTTGAAAAGTGTTAGCATATTTAGACTGTACAAAAGAACATGCAATTCTTGACCCAAAGAGCAAGCTTTCAGCATTAAAATATGGTAACAATATGATCATGTTAATAAACATTTTAGAGAAATAGGCTTTTTCCCCTGAGTTAAAAAGATGGCTTAATCACATTAATTGAGACTTAAGTTGATGTTTTTTGCTTTTGGCAGAGTTTTGGTTATACACTTGGTCTCTTGTAGTTTCTTTGCCAAACAGTACGTTGCCGTGTAGTTGCAAGAGGATAGCATTTCACTAGGTGGCCTTAGAGCCCTGTTTTATTCAAGTGCAGAACTATTCTTTGTTGTTAGTGAAACAATGAAAAATGTTGAAAGTACCAGCTTTTAATGGGCCCTAAATAATGAGGTGTTTAAATTCTTCGTTTATTATGACTTAGCCAGCAGATTCATGGGGATAACCAGCTGCTTCATACAGATAGTGGTTTTTGATGTTCACTGTACAGCATTAAAATTCTTTCAGAACAGTCACTGTGCAGCTTGTTTTACTTTTTCGTTGCTATTTTTAACAACTGTTAAAATCTTTATTTTGCTCTCACACTTCGGACTGTGCTGTCTGTTGTAAGCAAAGTAGCTATTTCACCTAGAAGTATGCTGCTGTATCCAATCTGGTGTTAGGTTGTTTCTAAGTTTTCTTTGATATGTTGTGATTCATACTTTCTTTTATCCCTCTCACTGACTAGCATCGTGTATACAGAAATACTTAATGCAAATATTTGACAATAAAATGAAGAAACTTCTTATTGTCCTGCTCCATAGGTATTTGATAGAGCGTTGTTATGGAACTTTATTGGGCAAAGAACTAAATGTTAATTTTTGTCTTATGTGCAGTGGTCAAGGATGGAGCCAGCTAGATCCAGTAGTCGCCTCAGAACTGCTCTCTCAGATCCAAGAGGGAGAATTCTGGGTGGATGAAGAGGAATTTTTCAGGGAATTTGATGAGATTACCATGGGCTTTCCAGTCAATGAGGAAGGACAACTTCAGAGCCTCTATACAGGTGCGGTACAAGAAAACATCTTTCTCATACAAATAACGTTATGTCAATGGGAAAGACTGATTTGAATTGCAAATGGATGCAACTAGACCTTAATTTCTCTTTCTCAGTCTTTCCCTCTCCTTTATATCCGTAGGCCTTTTCTGTCGCTGCTGGGAAGAATAGAGGGACAAGAGGAAATTGAAGATCTTTAGAGGAGTCTTTGATATTTCTCTGAGATCTAGTCACTTGCTAGTTTGTTGAGAGATTAGTGTTCTCTATCCAGAAGGCTGTTGTTCTGGACAGCCTTGTGATTTTTTTTTTTTTTTTTGATGGGAGATAAACTTCAAATTTCTAGAAACAGTTTCTTGTAAAAATCATGTCACCAATCTGCCATTACCAGTTGTGCCATTCATTCTCTTGCCTCTCAGAATGTTGGTGATAAATATCTGCTTGGAGAAAGTGTCAGGGCTACGACAGCATGTTTTCTTGGGCTGGGGGATCTCTGCTATATATCTGTTGTATGAAATCAAGTAGCCTCTGGTGTTTGAAATCTGCACCATGTTTTCTTATTTTGTTAGAGAAAGTGCTGTATCACTCGCAGAATCTTTTTGGATCCTGGGTGAGAGGCCAGTCTGCAGGTGGCTGCCGTAACAACAGCAGCTTCCCTACCAACCCTAAGTTCTGGCTGAGAGTCTGTGAAAAGAGTGAGGTGTGCATTGCTCTGCTGCAGAAACATAGGAAATACAGTGCTGACTGGGCTGGAAGAATTCAAAATCTGACTCACTTAGCAGAGGAAAATCTATCTTTGACTGAAGGCATACAGGGGAAGAATTATCAGGCTGTGGGATTGCATGTCTGGAAGGTAATACGGGAGTGACATTTTTCTTTTTGCAAATGGAAGTTTTAAAGCATTACTGAAACATCTGAGTAAAATCATTCATTTCTTGCGGCAGTGATACGATTCAACTGTTCACACATTTTACATCTCTGATTTATGTTAGAATGATCCTGTTTATCTCACAATGCAGTTACTGTCTTCTGTACAAACTATTAGTGGACTAGTACTTTCTTCTTATCATTGAGTGCCAAGTAGCAGAACTTTTGGGACTGTTCCAAACTAGTGCATGAATTTTCAGGCTGATGACTTGATGACTATTCCTAAATTTACTCCTCCTGAACATTAACTCTTCCTACTCCTCTTTGATGTTCAGCTTATCTGCTGATACTCTTCTCCTTACTTGTTTCCTTTTGTAAATGTATGCATGTTTAAAAATGTTTTAAACAATATTTGATCATTTTTAGTTTTTAATAAAAACTCCTCATTTTTCCTAAAACACCACGCATCATTATGCATCTATTCTAGGTGGAGAAGAAACGATTTAACCTTCCAAAGACCCTCTCTGCTCCTCCAGTTGTAGGTACCGTCTGCCATTCCTATGATAGAGAAGTACATGTATGCTGTGACCTTTCGCCTGGGTTTTATCTTGTTGTTCCCAGCACTTTTCTGAAAGATGCAGCAGGGAATTTCTTGCTTCGTGTATTTTCAACGGGAAGGATCTCTCTCAGGTAGGTTTAAAATAAAACAAAAGATTCCTTATAGTCATTGACATAAACAAATATATGAAGTGTAGCACTAAGTGTAAATGTTCAAAATGTTTTTGAAGGGCTGTGCAGAGTACCAGGTAACAGCATTGTTTTGTCTTTGAATTCATATAAGTAGTGTTCTATCTCCTTGGTTTTTGCATGAAGCTGCTACTACCTCTTGTTAAAATATCAGTCAGAAGTGGTCAGATGAGTAGCATCTTGACTCTAAGCTGCGGCCTAATGTTTTGAGAAAGTGCGTAGTTTGTAAAAGAACTGAATAGGTTTCTGCAGAACATTTTTCTCAATATGTGGAAGTTCTTCCTTAATGTATGGAAAAATGAAGATGTACTACAGAAGTTAAAAGCAGCTATTATTGCAATCAGCAACAGAAAAGGAGAGCAGTATATTATCACGTATGCTGGAAAACACATACTAACAAATTGCCTGAAATATAACATTGTTATTAGTGAGCGGTACAGCTTCAAATGCAAATGGAGTGTCAGCAGTGGACTCAGATGACACAATACTCACAGCTCATCTTTTCAGGACAGGTGTGGAAAATAGCACTGATGTTTACGCTGTCGTCTTTAGCTGAACAAAGAATTCTTTTTTGAATTAAAGCATTCAACACTGACAATACAGCTGAACTTGTTTCTTGTGAAGGCCTCAAGAAGTCTACCAGCATTATGATAAAATTCTTGGAAGGATCACTGCATATTGTGTTCTAGCTGATCTTTCCTCATAACTTGTGACACAAAATAGACTTTTATAATGGACTTGGAACAATCTTTTCTTTCTGTAGAAAAATGCTTGCTTATCCAACAGGAAATATCAGCAATGTTAGTCCAGTAGCTTCTGATGACTTAATTTTTTTAACTGTAGCTGACTACATAGCTATCTCAGCACTTAAAAGTCAATTATTCGTGAGCAATTCTGTGTTGGTGACCATAGCCTTGAAATAAATACTTAAGAAGACACAATGATGAGTAGTTGTGTGGAGTCAGCAAAGTTGTACCTTCTTCCAATAAACCTGAAAAAATCTGAGGTTGTCTAACAGCGTGCGCCAGGTAAGCTATATACAGAGGCAAAACATACTGTTGGCAACATGTTTAAAAGCTGTTCATATCTTTTGTATTCTGGTAGTACACTATCAACTCATACCTCCTTGGAGAGAAGCTGGCAAATCACACTACAAAGCCAGAACATGCATTAATCATTCACTCTGCGGAATTTGGAAGCAAGATGGCATCAAGTTTTAGACCAAATAAAGGTCTGCAAAACTATGAGGCTAATTTTGCTGTATAGGTGCAAGTTGTCTACTTCTTACTGGCAATATGCTGGTTTCTGTGCATATTTCATCTGTACAGCATGTTGCACTTCCAACGATGGGATAAAATTTCTAGTATTGCTGTTAAGTATAACATTTTCTCAGACTGAAACAATGGTGCCAGCCTGGATATGTGTCTAGAATGGACAATCGCAGAATAACGTAACAGCTGTTATATGTTCTCAACTGGAAAACTGGAGATAAGGACAGATGTTATGTTGAAATATGACTTCAAACGCTGCACAGCTGATAATGATACCAAATTGTTCATACGGCTGTGAAAAGCAGTGCTGGGCTAGGATCGAAATATGGGTTAACGTTACAGTGATCAAGTCAGAGGTAAAACAGTAGTTTCCTCTGATTAAAGACATGGCCAATATAAAAAATAATGCAGTGTATGCGTTGGACTTACTGAGGTGCTCGTGTGTACTCCAAAAGTAGCTGTCAGTTGTACCACTTTCAAATAGGACAAATAGCACAAGGGTAGTGAGGAAAAATGTGTAAGCTGCGTTACTTCATGAATGTACAAAAATCTACCTGGTTTTAGTGCATGGTTTGTATACACTACGTTGTTGTGGAGTTCTGTGAATTACCTAAGGACTTAGAATTGTACAGTTCTCTTTTTTTTTTGTGTTGAAAGTTTGGAGGAATTGTATTTATGTAAGTGTATGTAATAACTAGTTCATTTTTGTGAGCTGGTGTTCTAGAGTTTGTGAAATCATACAGATTTTATACATTTAGTTTCTTTTCTCTCTTACGTTTGATAGTGAGCTAAAACCACCGCCCGCAGATGCTGCCCTCTGTGAAGAACTCCCAGCAGGTGAATGGGAGACGGTGCAGCTGCATGGATGCTGGAAAAATGGGCAAAGTGCCGGAGGTAGCAGGAACTTCCCCTCCTTCCATATCAATCCCTGCTTTCCCCTCTCCATTCCTGCAGGACCAGGAAAAAGCAGTGTGAAAGTTACCCTCCGTCAGCACTGCCAAGATAGCAAGTGTCGTCCAATAGGTTTCCATATTTTCCAGGTGAGACTTCTTCTGGTCAGTTTGATTGCTCATTTGCCAAGTGTGAAGGTAAGCCTGTCAGTTCAGTGCTTCTTGCACTTGGCAAGGGACATGCTGCTTGTCAGAGAAACACAGGCTGGTCTTGTGAAGTAATGCCCGTGAAAGATACGGAATAACTACACACTGGGTAGCATAGTAACCAGATAATTGGTTCCAGTGAATCCTTCCAGTGTTCTAAATTAGTTTTAGAAATGATGAACTCTTTTGAGGATTTGCAAAGAATTCTCAGCGTCTTAGTGATTGAGGACCAGACTTTTTGGTAGTTGATCATGAAAACTTACCTTCTTCATCTCTAATAATGATTTACTTGTCCATTGGCAAGTGGTGTTGGATCCGCAGACAAGATTAGAATTCAAAAGGACAGATGTGTTGAACAGATGATCTGAAACAAAACAAGATACGATTTGGTATGGACAAATACAGGTTCTACATGTACGTGCCAGCGGTCAACCGCATAAATGTAGGGTGAGAAGCTTCTGGTTAGGTGGCTATTTCGCAGGGAAAGCTAGCTTTATTTTCAGAAAACGTGCTTTGGAAAAGGTGTTGCTTAAATGGAGAGTCTGGATTTGAGCATTAGGAGTGATCATATAGCTTAAAATATACAATATGTGAAGAAAGACTGAAAGAATGGCATTTTTCATGCCTACAGGAGACTGAGAAGTCTAATATGAATTTTTAGTACAGGAAAGGCCACTAGAAAGAGGAAGGACAGTCTGTTCACCATATCTGTGAGGTGAAAAACAAGGGCATTAGGCTGCAGCAAGGAAGAGTGAGGTTAGACAATAGAATAAGCTTTTGAGCTATGTGGGTAGTGGGTTGTATAAACTGTCTACAAACGTGGTAGGAATGATTTATCTGTAGTTGATACTGCCATCTGGGTTTTCTGGAAGCCTTCCCATCCCTCTCGTATAGCTCTGTACAGAAGAGTGAGCATTTGGAGTAGGATAGATATGGAGCATACCATACTATGGTATACCAGGAATTTAACAATGTGAGGCCTGAAATATATGAAAAGCTAGGCATGTTTTCATTCTTTTTTTGCAGGTGCCTAACAGCAGCTGGAAACCACATACTTCCTCTTTTCTACACTTGGAGCCCCTGGTTAGCTGTGTACCTCATTGCTATTCACAGGAAGTAAGCCAACTTTGCAGACTTCCTGCAGGGAGTTATGTAATTATACCTTCTACGTACTTGCCCAATACAGAAGGCAATTTTACAGTGGTCATAGCAACCAAAATAGACAGGTAAAAATATGTTGCCTTCTATTTGTATTTCTAATATTTTCAGTGCATGCATTACAGGATGTTTGGAAACAATAACTGTAGTGACATCTTCTCACTTTTGATAGAAAATAATCTTTTTTCCTTTAAAGTCTTTGTATTGCTGTTATGTTTGCAAGCACTGCTTACCGCTTTGACTATGTTGGAAGAATGAGTAAAAAAAAAAAAAAAAAAAGTATTTGTAATCTTGCCTCGGTTACTGAATAACAGGTGTCTAGTGCTGGAGAAGATGGCACTACAGCAACTGAGTATCAGCTATGTCCAGATACTAGGATTTATGCTGAAATTTTACTAAGCTTTTTAATAAACAGGGTTGTTTTTTGAGAAGCTGCAAGCCTTATTGCAGGTAGTTCTTCATGATGGGAGTAACAACAGGTCTGAATCAGAATTTGTATATTCCGTAAGATTGCATTAAGAGTCCATAAAACTGTGTCAAGATTCCATAAGGATGTGGAACAAAGCCTAGGCTAACAATCTTCTCCTTTTGAAGTGGGATAAATGATTGATGTTTACAAGATCCCTCCAATGCTTTGTGCAGAAATAAGTGTGGTTCTGGTTTTCAACAGGAAGCGCATTCACAGCCGGGAGACACTTGGACAAGTATTGCAAGAAGTGAGTGATACATTTTTAATTTCAGTTGTTCTAACGGTGTCGCAGAGGCATCTTCAAGGCTTATGTATGAACTAATATTGAGAGTCATGTACTGGTGGACTGGACTCTGAATGTTCTCGTTTACTTGCTGCAAACTGGTCATCAGTAAAGCAGTTAATCTTTGGGGTTTTGTTTCTCAGCCAGAAAAGTAGCATTTGTTAGCAGCTAACAAAATTTGTCTTTTCACACCACTCAGATACACGGAAGTTTCTGTATGGCTGTTTTATAAAGTCATTATTTACTCCCTCAAGTCATTCCCCAGTACCTACCTCTGCTGTAACGTCTGTGAGAAATTGGACCATTAGTGATGAGTAGGTGGTTGTACTTGCTTTTACATTTGCTTTCAAGAGTGTAAACACTCTTATGCATTTGGATATATTTTGATGTATTCATTCTTGGTGTCACCATAGACCTGCTAGCTTTAATTATATGTTGTATCCTTCCTCCATCTGATTGGCTTTGATGTTAATTTGGGATCCTACGTATTGCGATTTAGAAATTTTAATGATATTATAATGTTGTAAAGACTTAAGAAAACACAGCAAAAAGAGAAGAAAAGCAAACAGGCAATCCAAAGATCAGCTTTCACCACACTAGAGTTTAGTTTTTTATTTGTTTCCTTACAGCCAGCCCATATAGCATCCCACCATTATAATCCTTCTTGGTGTGTGAGCCATTCTGATCAAGTTAATGCCACCTATTTAATATTTTGGTATTGTGTTTTGCTTGATTAGATATGCATGTAATATTGAAGGGTTGGATGTGAATGCTGAGTACCTAATACTTACGGTATTTTTACCAGGTGGAGAGGAGAACTTTGAATGTATTATTTTTAACAATTGTTTAAAGATACCTGATTTGGTTGGTGGATCAAAGCATGCCCTTGATAATGCTCTGTTTCTTGGGGGAGAACAAGACCATCTAGCTACCTGGCTCTTTCC